TGAACAAGACAACTGACCAGTTGATCAAATGACAATATAGTGCCTTTGGACTAAAAAGTGACCCACTTTAAAGTGCTAAATTTCATTAAAATAATGTAATCATCTTGTAATCGAGTATTCACATCAAGAAGGGAACAATGTCGAGATTCTGAGCTGGCACTTTGTCATGAAGTCTTGAAAGGGGCCAGCGAAACAATAATGCAGAAACGTAACGTGCAGTTCGCCAGCGTTCCCATTCTTGCTTTTCCTAGTTGCAATTCCGGTGTGTCCTTATTCTACCCACCCAACGCCCGATTTACGATAATATATAAGTACAAACTCTTGACTAAAAATTTTCTCATTTTTATCAGTTTTTCTTTTTAAAAATAAAAAAAAATATAGGACGAAGGCAAAAGTGCTTTTTGTGAGTTCTGTTATACATCTGAAAGTTATTAGTAAATACTGTTTCATTTTTAAAAAACTTACCATCAATTCTTGATTAGATGAATACCTTCTTCAGCACACTCCATTATGTGTATGTAATACACACAATATCCATTCTACACCGTTACCCGTCGATGATCACACAAATCTTCATTTGCTCCCGAAGCTAAACTAGGTAGCTAAACTATTTTTGGTAAATATTAAAACAAAATGTAATTACAGAATTTTGAAATAAGCAAATTTGTCTCGACTTTTTCCTTTTAATACTAATAAAAAATATTCTATTGAATTTCTTATATTAACAAAGTTACTCGAAGATTCCGAGCCATCTACACCCACCTGTATTAAACTATAAAAGGTAAATATATATACGTATGTTAGAAGTTCTCTGTGACCTTAAACTAAGTGTACACTAGTAGCGTGATTAAGTAAAGGTGCAAATGAATAAAGTTTGTAGCGGCAAGTATGATTCCTACTTGATTCAAAGCCTTAAAATGTCATCGTTGGCTCCTATGTAAAAAAAAAATTACTTGTGAAGTTCTCATTTTTGCTGAATACAAGAATATCATGGACCTATTATAATACATTCAAAAACCGATAAAAAACTTATGTTGAATAATGTTGCCCTACTAATTCTGGAGCATATTTGTTTGTAGCTGGTCTTCCATCACTGGTATGTCTATTATATGGTATATTCTACACCTCGTATACATCACAATATCCACAATAATTGTTTTTACAAACAGGGATGATAATTGTACAACAAACTTCTCTACGTAGCTTGTACATTTTGGATCATCCTGGTATGCCTATTTTGAAGTAGGGCACTTTCGATACTCATAGGCAGCACAATATCCATCAATTTGGTTGTTCTTACAGAGATGCGTCTTGTTTAATTCTATGATGTTCAACAATGTTGTACTCTAAATACTACAAATTTATTTGTGGCATGTACACCTTAAATCATCCTAATAGCCTAGCCACACAAATACACCACATCCACACTTTGTAGACCTCTTAACATCTAACAGATTTTATAGTTCTGATGCTAGTCACTAAAATTGTTAAATTCTAAATTTTATTCGACAACTTGCTCCTCTGAATTCTGCAAACAAATTTATTTGTAGCTTGGTTGTCTCTGACCATCCTGGTCCATTCCCGCAAGAATAGCTAGTTCTACACCTTGCCCTCATAACAATGTCTTACAAATTTTATTTAACTGATCCCACTCACTGAAATTGTTCATCAAAGAGCCTTTATAAATGCAACAAAATTTACTTGTAGCTTGTACATCTTTGATCATTCTGTATGACTATTCCTGGCAAGCTAAGCAGGTGTTCTGGTGCTAGTCACTAAAACTGTTTAATTCTATGTTGTTCAACAATGTTCCTCTAAATACTACAAATAAATTTATTTGCAGATTGGGTGTCTCTGATCACCCTGGTATGACTGATCTAGCAAGTATAACAGAAGTTCTACACTCCGACATCATAATAGTCTCACAAATTTTATTCCTCTAGATGAGAATGTTAATCAACAAAACTATTTAAGCCAAATATGAAGTGTTGACCATTGATCACGTGATTTAAAAAAAAAATAAGAAGAAAAAATCACCAATAAATTGTACAGTAAGAACATTTATTTAATGTCAACTCAATTTTTTATTTAATCCGTATATGTTTAGCGGTCATAATTGACCATATTAATTATTCTTTTTATCTAAGGTCTTGGTTGAGATGAAAAAGAATAATTAATTGAATCAATTTTTTAAATTGACATGAAGAGATTTCATGAAAAATTTTCTACTTCGATTATGTAAGAATTTTACCCCCTTCTGTTTTACCTCCCAAAGCCTGAATCTCATATTTATTCCGTTTAGGGATAATTTTGGTAATTTTACAAAGAAATATTTGGATAATTTTGGTAATTTTTCAAAGAAATACTTGGAGTATAAAATAAAATTTTTAAATAGCAATCACCAAAGTATGAGTATAATTTTTTCTTCAGTCATTTCTGGAATAAAAGTTCCAAAACAGATCCTAAAACACACTCAAAACACCCACACAAATTGTCAAACCATCAATATTTTATAGTCTGTACATTATATGTCTAATAACAAATTAGACATTTCTATTGCCAAAAGTTTAGTATTTAATCAACTCTTTCTAACGCATTTGTTCTAAATGTGTGGAAAATTATAAATTTATGCACACTCCTTTGCATTAATTCATTACTTATGGGGAAAAAAATAAATAATTTGATGTGGGCGTCAGTACGCCCTCCCTCTTAACTCTTTATTTCTCATGGTACCTTCAAACTTACCTCGTTTATCAGTGGAAATAATTTTCACCATCCACCCCTTCCCAAGGGACGACTATTGTTAAATAAATATATTTTTATTAATTGAAGACTCCAAGAAAGCATAAAATATTTTAAAGACAACACACATTTTCAAAATTTTGCATGTTTTCTTTTTTTAATTTGTTCTTTTAAAAAATATATGTATCTATAAAGTCGATTAGTACTTAATATGCTAACATAAAATATTTTATAGAAAAAAATTAACTGTGCCTGAAATTTCCTCAAGGTATCAATATGGTATTTTTTAATCCTTGTCAGCCTCGATTTCTATTTGAATGTATATTTCCACCAAACATTTTTTTTTTAATAACAATAATCTTATGGTTCATATTTTATTAACATTACCATTATTCCACCCCTCTATGTCGTAAGTAAATAGCCACCAGTTTTTTCAATTAACTGATTACCAAGGTTTGTTTTGCGAAGGTACAATGTGAAATGTTCAATTGTCAGAGTTTAAACCTCGTCATTTATACAATAACATTAAACAAATGGCAACTTGATGAGACCATCTTAATTTTTTTAAATAGATATTCAGAGTAAAAGATCACATTAGACACGGATGCAGTCAAATCAACAATATCTATAAACGATATTTTTATAGCCGTTTCATATAATAAAAAAAGAGTAAAAGTTTCAAGTAGAGTTCCATTTCCATAAAACTATCCACTGCAGTGATTTGCAGTAATCTCCCCACTTAACATGTTGACTGTGGTTGTCAACACTAGTCAACATTCCTTCATTTTTTCCTCTTGCCACTGTCAACAGTGTGTAATTTCAACCTTTTTGGGACTCATGACGAGTTAGCTCGTTCAGTTTATATGAGCCAGGCTTTGAGACAAATTCTTATTGTCTTTTTGTTTGTTTTTTTTATTTTAGGTCTAGCTGGACCCTAATGGCTAATATTGGGCTGAGGTTGAATCCAATACTTTCTATTCCCATCCCTTCACCATCCTATCATTCTGCGACACTTTCCTCTTTTAGTGAACCCTTCGGCTAGTTCTGTTTCATTAGGGAATGGCCTACTTTGGTTTTCCTCCCACCCCCTTGCCTTTCACCTACATTTTCAACTAAATATGACTTTTTCGCCGTCCATTTACTTACTTCTGTTGAAAACTATCTTAGGAAATGTAATGTCAAATTTTGAATGGAATTGCTGCACCACAAAACAAGTATGAGCAATATGATGCACGATGCAAAATAAATCAGGCTGGGTGCTTACATATCAGCCGAGAATATAGGTAGGGGAACATCCTAAAATCAGTCCTGAAAAGGTTAAACGATTTAAATCAATTCAGCGCAGGATATCAATCAGACCGGCTCTTCAGTCAACATGTTAGATGATAAGATGATAAATTTACAAAATTATATCATCCAGTGTTGTATGGCAAACGACTACTGGGTACTTTTTATTCCTGGGACGAACCAATTTATACATAATTCAATTAATTGCAGAATTCACTTTCAGTGTTCAGTTTTCTTGCAGTCCCTTCTGTCCTTCGTTTAAAAACAGAATCAGTGTGATATCAGGAAGATATATTCTCTTTAGGGTTTTACTATGTAAATCCCTTAGACTCCGTAATATTGTTAATATATGTGTCTAAGTACTAATTTTGTATGAATTTCAAAAATTCATATCTAAGACAATCTAATCAAAATAACAAATAGTATCACATGAAGAAAGTTCTGTCCGAAGTTAAATTGTCGTTTTATAATAATTTATAATATATATAAATCTTTTATATATATTATACAATTTCTATTCTTATTTTTAATTTGAAGATCACAAAATTTTCAGCGAGATGACAACGTGAGTCAACGAACTGAAGGCACTCTCCTGCTACTGAAGGAAAACACTGTAGAATCTACTCAACGCGTTAGAAAAAAATACATTTGTATTTTACAAAAATTCTCATAGTGGGTAATTAATGTGGAAAAATGTAGATAAATTGAATTTATTCATGATGATAATGTATCTTAACATCGTATAACACAACAAAATATCAAATCAAATAAGAATAAATAATGGTTAACACAAATTTAATTTGGTACTCACCGAGATCACAAGTTCCTATTTCATCCAAGGGTAAAAATTTATTTTAAACAGGAATGCTATGTTGCATTGTGTTGTAAAAGCTCATATATATATACCTCAGCCTTAACGTCTTATTTAAAGAGAATTTTACAATCACTTTAATCGTGACTGTGGTCTGTACCTGAAAGCGATAAATGCATCTCCTTGTTCACCACCTATAATATGAACACCTCCTTCTGGAATAGACAATCCACTGAAGTAGGTGCGGATGTCTGCAGCATTTGCAGACCAGGGTAGGTTCTGCAGTCGAATTATGACACTCATCCTTGTAGATTTTCTTGAATCCTATTGAGGTAAAAAGAAATTTTTGTATTAAACTGAATTAAACTCCTTTTTGTAATATAACAGATGGATTATTTATCTAATATTTAATATTCAAAAATTATTTAAAGCTTGAGAGAATAACGGCGATAATATTTCAGTATTCTGTAGTATAATTTTTTGCCAAATGACATCTTACTACGTAGTCCTTGTGTTTTCACAATATTTTTCAATTAAGAATTATAAATAATCCAACCATAAATTAAAAATTAAAAGTATTAAAAACTAAGCTATGGACGTTTAACAAAATAGAACAACAATACATAAGATAGAACATACTGTCGAAAGTATTTGAAAAGCTCTTTCACAGAGAATGGTTGTGAATGGTAAATTGGTAAAAGCTGTGCATTTTCAAATCGTCTTCTTGGTTACTATTTGTACCAAACAATAAATTTGTACATATGTGAGAATAATTCACCAATCTAGTCATATGTTTTACTAGTCAGTGTTGTAATTATTGTAAACTGTAGAGAGAAATATATAATCAAAGGAGTAAATCACAATTGGATTTTTTTCACAAATTCAATCTCAACTTTGTAAATGCTGCAGAGAGGCACTAGTTGTAGAGGAATGGAATTTAATTACCCTCATTGTAGCCAATAAACTAAAATATTTTTATTATTATTTAATAATTCGAAAGGTGTGGTTGAGATGGGAAATTGGGGTCCGGGTGGATCGAGGTCACGATAGCTCAAGTGGTAGAGCAGCGGCGTATCAAGCCAAAGATCACGGGTTCGAATCCCGCTCGTGCCATTGGCTTTTTTATCTCAACTAAAAACCTTAAATAATTGTATTATTTAATAAGCTGAAGATTTGTTATTAAAATTTTGTAGATTTAGCTGGGCTGTTTTATAATATGAAAGAGAGTAAAATCTACTATCTCTTCAAACATTGTAATGGGATTCCTCAATGTACCCCAAAAATAATTTAAACAGGAGGTGCTGGCACAACAGACATTGCAGCTAAAAGAGAGTTTCTATAACTATCTTAATACAGATCGTCTTCTCCTAGCCTGGTCAAGAAGAGAGCCTCGAGTCTTCCGATTGTCGGGAGGAAGCTTTGGGCCGATGACTGCCAGTGTGTGACAATAAACTAAGACTAATCTTCAAGATTGGTGTTTAATCCTGACAGTAACGCAGCTTTTACCTCAGTTCACTATCAATTGCCGTCTGCTGTTAATAAATTGGTAACCTGATCAAAATTTGCAGCATTTTTATCAGATTAAAACAAATTAAGACTTTCTATTTTCAACCTCTGAGCATGTGATCTATGCTCTCGCACATCAGTAGTGTCTTCAGTCCTGTATATGTATTGCTGCATCATTGTTCCACTGAGCTGTTTATTTCTAAAAACCAACTAGGACTAATTTTGCAGTTTATGTAAAATTATTGGACACTTCCTAAGTTTATCCTACACTTTTAAGACCTATAATTATTATTAACAGCATGTTCAATGCAACTGACCGGTGGCCAGAGTCTCAACCAGCCAGACAGCTTGACCTGCATTCATAAGAAACTCCAACCAGCACTGAAAATGTTAAACATATTGTTATACCGTCAAGTCTCGATAATTCAAACCTTAATAACCTAATAATTCCTTAATAATTCAATTATTTTTTTTTTAAATACCCCTTGTTTTCCATGTTTGCCCACAGTTTTTCTTTATAAGTCGAATATTTCAAAATGAAAACCTCGATTAGACTAATTTTCTTTTATTTGGAGATCATGAGATGCGGTCTGGTGTGACATAGGTTTAGAAAAACATTTTCTTTATCGTGCCAACTTCTATCTTTATTGAGATCAACTTCAGGGCCTGGAATTTATAAACATTGTTTAAATTATACAAATACATTTAAGATGTGAAAAAATGAATTTATACAATGATACAAATTTTAGACTCAATCAAAGTATCTTACATGTATTTGTATAATTTAAACAATGTTTATAAATCCCAGGCCCTGAAGATGATCTCAATAAGATTGAAATGTTAGCATAATAGAGAAAAATTTTTTCTAAACCTGTCACACCAGAACACATCTCACAATCTCCAAATAATCATTAATTAACAGTTACTAAAAACCACACACTAATTTTCTTCATAAGCCCACACGACTAGCACCATTTCTTTACCTGATGGGCTCTCCTCTCTCTAACAGTCCTACACGAACAGCATGGCGAACAGTTCATGCTTATGAGGCAGTTTTTTGCATTGTTTTTTCTTCTTCTTTTTTTTCAGTTATTCATGTTTTCATCTTTGTTCATTTGTGAATGAACTTTGTGTCAAAAATGTCTGTGAAACATCATTGTAAGATGTTAAGTGTGGAGAAGAAACGCAACATTATTAAGGCGGTAGATGAAGGCATTAAGAAAAAGCGTGAGATCGTTAAAGAATTTGGTATACCGCCAAATACCTTAACAACAATTTTTTAAAAAATAGAGATAATTATGATGCAGCAAGTGGATTAGTCGACTCAATTCCTAGAACCTTGATTAGTTGAAAAACTCAAAGTCAAAATTTTAAATTTCCCCCTGGGATTCAAGTTATTGAGAATCTACTGGATTATTATTAGGTCTTGTTTACCCTTAACAAGTTAAAATATGGCAGACAGATTAGTCCAAACCACAAATGATTTTTCTGCAAAATATATTTATTGTTTTACAATAAAGTTACTACTAAGACTAAATAATAACCATAGTTCAGTTGGCAGCCATTATGGGGTAATGTAAGTATAGAACTGAGATGCAATAGCTTGATTGAACTTTACATTTTTCTTTCTAATTTCATCCCTGGTCATCATTTAATATAAAGCAAATAGTTCTTAGAGGCTGCAGTAAAATAAAATAATTCTTGTCGTGAAAGAAAGTTAATGAGATTCAAACCAAAAAACCACTGGTGTAGCAAATATGAACACCATAATCACTGCAACCACAGTCCCTCCTAAGGTGGCTCCTCGAATGCTGGATTCGCCGAATGCTGAGAAAGGTTTGCCAAATCCTGACTAGTGCGGATGGGGCTCGGTTATTCTCCGAGCAACAATATTCGGTGCTCGCCTTGATCAGCTAATTGACCATTTTCTTGTCAGCTTCAAGGTGCACAAATTTTCATTAAGTAAACGAACTCAAAGCATCTACACATTCAGGGATCAACTGTACTGTACAGATATCAACTACCATCATCTCTCAACATTGCTATTTATTTTTCAATAATAAACGATTCCTAACTAGTATATGTGTATTAATGAAAGAACATCATAGCATTCAATTTTCTGTCGGTTAGGAATGGATTAGCTCAACATAAGTCTTGGAGTTCCTCAATCTTTACCAAGCTGAACCAATAATTAGTAATCTTCTCTTCCTAATCACAAAAATCGAACGAGGTTTTCCATGCATGGAAACAGATCTAAAGTAAGATGGATCAACACTCTCTGTGAATGATTTGTGACTGAGTTTGTAGCCACTGCATGAAACAGTAACCACAGATGCAGCGATAACAGTTTCACTGTTGTCCATCACAATTGCTAGTACGTTGAGGGCACAGCACTTGCGCATATTCGCTGTTTATGCACAAACGGGCAGGTTGTACGAACTCCGCATGTGTGGATGCATAAGCACACTAATTGACAAATACCAAGACAACAAGAAAAGCATCTGAAGACTTGGCAAATGTCTGGCGGCAATCGGCATTAGGTAAATACCACATGTCAGGAGCCATCTTTAGAGGCTGTAGTATAAAATAACCTTGTACAATTGATCAAACACTGTTGTGAATTTTTTTCAATTAATTAAGGTTTTGGTTGAGATAAAAAAGTCAGTGTCACAAGTGGGATTCGAACCCACGTCCTTCAGCTAAATACACACTGCTCTACCACTTGAGCTATCGTGACTTCAATCCACTCGGACACTAACTTCCCATCTCAACCCAACTTTTCGAATTTTCCCTTATTTTTTCCGTTTTTCAAATGTCGTGTAATCTATTTGATTCTCGGCAACAAATGAAACAGCCACGGAGAGCTTTAGTGAAGTATACTTCATTTTGCTTATTACATTTTATTAGGTTTCGAGGTCCGCTTGACCAAATAAATTCTTTTCAATTAATTAAGGTTTTGGTTGAGATAAAAAGAAAAGAATTTATTTGGTCAAGCGGACCACGAAACCTAATAAACTGTTGTGAATGATTATTTGAAGATCGTGAAATGCAGACTGGTGTGACGTAGGTTTTAGAAAAACATTTTCTTTAACGTGCCAACATTTCGATCTTTATTGAGATCATCTTCAGGGCTCAAAGTGTTTTCCGTGTAAATGTGCCATTCTTGAGAGTGTCCACTCAACTATCGAAGCTTGTTGTAGGGCATACTGGATATTTTTGGAATTGAATCGGAGTCACAGATTACAGGCCTTTAGTATCACTTTGTCAACGTTGTGAAGACCGTTTTTCAATTTACCTATTGGAAATTTTTTATAATTTTTTAGAAAATATTTTTTTTTCGTTAGATATATAATAGTAAATGTAATTAGAGATATGTACACATGTCTTCTTAATTCATCTTTTGATTATATACAGGTTTTCGATTTTCTGTGCCCCCCACTCCTCATCCTTACCACGTATAATGTAGATTTTCCTGTAATATCTCTTTTTACTTGAAATAATCAATTTGAACACAGCTCTTCTTTCTTTTGTTTTAATTATTTAAATTTAAGTGTGACTTAAAGACCAAAAATCTATTTTGAACTTTTTCAAGTTGATCAATGTGTTACAAATAGCATGAAGACCGATCTATTTTAGAGTTCAACTCTAAAATAGATCTAATTAAAGAAAAATACAATATTTTAAATCTAGAACGTTGGTTACGTTTTTGAACTAAGCATACCATTTAATTTTTATGCAATACATTTCAGTTGCTAATGCATTTCGGGACAAGTCCCTGGTCCCTTTTCAGAGCTATCTATTGGCTAAATTGAATTTTT